TATATGGGGGTTACTCAGGTGCTGGTGGATCATTTTATAAAGATTTTAGCAAACAATGCTCAAAGTGGCAAGGTTACAAAAATGGCAAACATGAATCAATGATGGCTAAAGAGATTTTAATATGCATAATGCTAATATTATATGTGTTATTAATATTTATAGATTGATGTTTTACATGTAATATGAATTTATTAAATTAAATAAATATTTGTAATTACGAAGCATTTATTTCAAATGTATAGTAAAAACTGGTGTTTAGATACCGAGTACATTTGTATTATAATTGTTTTAATATTTAGCAATTAATTTGTTGCATACTTTGTGTAAAAAACAAATAAGTTTATATAAACATTTTAAAATTAATTTTCTATTGCTAGTACACGCACTGTAATACTGTACAATACAGTAATAATAATTAAGTTTTAAAAATATAACATTGTATATTATATTTATTACTATGTTAATCGACAATTAATTGTGTTTACCTAGATTTGTATTAAACAAATCACTCACCACCCTTTCTAAATATGATTTGTAATCCATTAATTGGTCCTGGTGAAACTATTACATTCATATCGATTATCAATGACACTATAGTAGTGTACGATGCTAATGAGACTAACATTAATAGTATGTACAGGATATAAAAATAAATATAATATAATAATTATTATTATTTATAATTTATTTATAGAGGGCCAGAAATTAAGACATACCCAGGGACAAAAAATACAGTCTATTACAAAATTGGTGATATTATCCTGATACCTATAAATGTCAATGATCATCAGAATTGGTGTTCATTAAATGGCTATTATTCATGTATTATTCGTAGTAGTACTAGGTAAATTACATCTAATATAGGTGGTAGTAAATCATTTGACAACAAATGTGGCGAGTAGCAACATTATAAAAATAAATCAAGTTGCATGTGAAATTTTAATAAATTCATCATGTGTATTTGTTTTATTAAAGTGACAATTTATTTTATAAATTAGTAAATTAATATTTATATAATATAATATAATAATATACACAGTATTAAGTATACAAGTATATCACAATTGATTATTGACTTGACTTTAATAAAAATATAAATTAATAAAATTTGGTTAATTGTAAAAAATAAATAAATAAATAATGTTTAATTATAAATAAATTATTACAAAATTAATTCTTTATAATCAAAAATATAGCTAACTCAACTCTGTACTCAAAATATAATTATATAAATTATTTTATGCCTAACACTGTAATACCTTTCAATGATACTTACCTAGATTATACATTGAGATACATGTATGTGTCAATAATTTTATAATACTGTTGCCTTGTTGATAATCACCGGCTAAACTACAAACACGCAATATTTATCAATGTATTAATAGTGATTTAAGCATTCATTTTATATTATATAATAAAAACAACAAGGATTGTTTTATAACCGTTATCATTAAATTATTAATAAATTACTTTTAAAAATAATAGAATTTATTTTATAAGTGTATTTATTTAGCAAATATTATGTACAATTATATAATAATTTTATATCTATGTGTAAATTTAATTTCACCTGGTTCAACACTATTTACTGGTATAGTAATCAATGACAAATTACAACTGACATGCGACCCTTATCTCATTGACGGTGAATCAGTTGAATTAATAATGATTGTTAAAGACACCTTGATGCTGTATTATGCCCACCTACCTAATTTAAATAGTAAGCATATAAGTATATTTTTATTTCCTGATTTATCTATTTTTAATATACAATATATACAGTGTATAGTAGTAAAAAACACTAAATTTTTATAAAAATTTCTAAAATGTTAATATTTTAAAAAATAAATTAGCATGATGTTGAAATTGTAACATTTTAATACACCATTTATTAGAAAATATTATAGTTTTTATACTTATTGGTTATTTAGTTCTTGCTCATTTTTATTTTCATTTATCCTAAACAACATTTAAAATTTATTAAATGTATATTTATAATGACAATAAATAATTAATTGCTTTTTAAAAATAATATTCCCTAATATAGAGCCTGAGACAATGGTATACCCTGGTACCAAAAGCACTATTGTCAATTGGCTTGGCGAGATAACTATAACACCATATGAGCAGGATAATCACCAGGATTGGTGCACTATGGTCGGTTTCTATCAATGTCGATTTGACAAACGTAGGTCTGGGATCACTTCAAACACCACCCAGACATTTACCATGGAGTTTAAAAAGGAATGTGCCGAGTGGAATGCTTACAAAAATGGTTCACACCATGCAATGTCTAATAAAGTTTTCATCTTGATATTTTTATCCATTAAGTTATTTTTATATTTTAATTAATTGTATTAGATTGTACACCTTAATAATTTTATAAACTAGGTATGTTCAGACTGGAATACATATAAGAATGGTGAAAAGGTCCAGTTATTACTACCAGTGTCAATGTAGTATTTTTAATAATATGTATGCTAAATTTTGTTTATGCTGTATGCTAGTGTAGTAATTAAATTAATTTTAAAATATTTAAATGAATTATTTTGCAATAGTAAATAAATTAAACAAGTCATTCAAGTTTGTAATTATGTATTACAAAATTTTTATTTAAATAAAAAATAATATATGCTACCAGTGTTTACAGTTTCATCTTGGTAAACTGCATGATTATCGTTGTTTATTTTATTTAACAAGTATTCATTGATGAAATGTAGATCATTATGCATTTAATTAATAATTGCTAAAAGGTTGAAAAATCATAAATAAAATTAAATATTAAAATAAATTTTGTTAACCAAATTTTCGGAATTTAATCAATAAATTTTAACTTTATACTGTAAAATTCCTGAGTTCTCAACTCCTCAGTTATGTATAGCTCTCAGTTATGAACTGTAAAATATTTTTTGACGGATTGCCTATATCTATAATGTTAAATACATTCTCT